GGGTCAGCTCTGGGTTGGTTCTGATGCAGTTGTACACAACAACAAAAAGAACCTGTATTTGGATGAAGAGGAAGTCCTTCAAATAGAATGGGGCCTACTGCTTGGTTTAAAATCATATGCAGATGGCCCAATCTGATTTGCTGCAAGTGAAGATCACGTAAGTACTTCTAATGAAACCTAAGCCTTTCCACCTTGTTTTGGAAGAAGTGAATCCAGAATGTTCTTTGTAGAAAGGATAGTGAAACTTCGCCACACGTAGTTGGGACATGTTACCAGGAGGGTCCAATCCTTGGAAAAGGACACTTTGTTTGGGAAGTAGACAGTGAGTGATAAAGAGCAAGACCTTCAATGAGATGAATTTCACAATGATGACAACTGTAGGTTTAAGCACAGTGGGCACTGAGGATGGCACAGGAATGAGCAAAGTTTTGATCTTTTAACAAACTAGGGTCAAAACGTGTCAGAGGTGACTCAATGGTATCTACCAACAACATAGTCTTCAGAATTACACTTCAGTATAAAGGAAACAAAAATCCTCAAAAAGGACTAACAAGAAACATCATGATAAATGGGGAAATATTTAAAACAATTAAAAAATATTTGTAAAGGATTTCATTATACATGGGTCCAGAATCAACACCCATGGAAGTGCCGTCGAGAAATCAAATGACATATTGGACAAATGTGCTTCCAAAGACCTTTGTTAAAAAGCAGAGATGTCATTTTGAGAACTAAGATGTCCCTACTCAAGTCTCAGACTGGTATTCTCAGTCACCTCATATGCACATGAAAGTTGGACCATGAGTAAGGAAGATCAAAGAAGAACTGATGTCTTTGAATTATGGTGTGTGGAAGAACATTATATATACCATGGACTGCCAGGGGAATGAACAAATATGTCTTGGAAGAACATCCAGGATTCCCTTTAGAAGTGAGGATGATATTTTATCTCTCACGTTTTAGAGATATTATCGGAAGAGATTGGTCACCAATGAAGGACAATGTGCTTGGTAAAGCAGAAGGTCAGTGAAACAGAAAGTCAAAGACTGGTATTGTGGCTAGACCAGTACATCAATTATTTGTAAGGATGGCACAGACCTGGGTAATGTTTTCTTCTGTTGCCAACAGGTCTTTAAGAATTAGAACTGAGTCAAGGACACCTAATGACAATGTTGCTGTTATGTATCATCATATGTAACTCATAGTGGCCCAATGTAAAACAGCTCTGCAGCCTGCCCTATTCTGAGCCAATCTCACTGACTCTGACACACCTTACCAGTTACTGTATCAATTCGTCTCATCCAAGTTCTTCCTCTCCTGTGTTGTTCCTCCACCTTTCCAAGATGATGTCCTTCTCCTAGAATCATTCCTTACTGGACACATGACCAAAGCCTGTGAGACAAAGCTTCAAAATCCTTGTCTCGAAGGAGAAAATTGGTTTCACCCTCTCCAAGATAGATGTGTTTGATCTCCTGGTGGTTCATGGTATGTTCAATACTCTTCCCCAGCACCACAACTCAATGGCATCAATTCTTCTTCTGTCATCTTTAGTCATTGTCAGGCTCTCAGATGTATAGTAAGTAATTGCAAAAACCATGACCTGGATCAGGCCTGAGTCTAGAGACCTGACGTCATCATTTCTCAGTACTCTGGAGAGGTCTCTGACAGCAGATTTTCCAGTGCAATTCATCTTATTGTATTTAATGACAACGTTGTTGTTGTTGTGTACTGTTGAGTTGGAACCTACCCAGGGCTGACCCTCTGGCAGGTTTTCAGAGGCAGTTAATCACACGGGAGGAGATTTCCCATCCTTCTCCCTTGGAGCAGTTGGTGGCCTCAAACTTGTTCCCTAGGGATTGTGGCACCGCTTCTTGCCACTAGGCCAATAGAGTTCCAAAAGCGATTATTTTGGAAGATGTAAAACCAAGGCTAACTCACTGCCTTTGAGTTGATTTCAACTCATGGTGAACCCTCTCTGTCTTTCTTTCTCCTGAGCAGTTGCTGGTGATTTTGAACCGATGAAAACGTGTGGTCTTTGGCAGTGCGACTCTCTATGGACTATACCACCAGAACATCTTTGGAAGCTGTAATTAGGAGTAATTATTATTTTCTTATTTCTCATTAGTATTTTCTCAAACTGCTATAAGAATAATGCCTTACACATGCATTTAAAATATTTATTAACGCATATATCTAATACAAAAGATAGATGGTACTCTCTTAAGGAATGCACACACATCAGCTTGAAAGCAGAGCAAACACTTTAAACTCCCACCTCCCTCCTTCGCACCCCCCCCCCAGCATCTGCTATGTTGCAACTTCACTATATTCATTTAGAGTTTTATTGGAGTTCACAATTTCTGGAATTGTAGCAGTGTCTCCTGTACTAAGACCTACGGAGATCTTGCAAGCATAACATCAACCTGATTCTCTTGAGGTAGATGAATGTGTGGTAAGCTCAGTTCTTCAGCTCTGTAAACCTTCTGCAAGAGTTTGAACAGGCCCTAGCTGTCACTTCCGTCACTGCTGTCACCTGGTGATAGAACCACCCTGATCATTAAGAGCAACAAGTCAGAACTCCCTAATGATCCCCTTGACCCTCTCTGTCCAGTCCTTCACAGGCTCTGTCTTCACTAATTGTGCTCAACTGCAGACAGAGCAGAGAATTGATTGTGTGTGATATAATCTTTCCAGATGAGGGGAAGCTGGCCTAGCCAATTATCAGAGCCCACTTCTAAAAATGAGCTCTAGGCAGATGGAGCCAGGTCCAGCTGTATCCACTCATCTATACATGTGATTGTGAGTGTTAAGAACAAGAGCCCAGGCAACTATTAGGGGAAGAAAAGCAAAGTCACAATTCCAGAGTTCAAAATGGCAAAAGCTGAAGATGCCATAGTGGCATCTTGAGTGTTCAGATCTGTTGTTCATTGCGTCGCTGTGGATCATATTCAACTCAGTGGCACCTAACAACAACAACAACAACAACAACAAAGATAGATAAATAGATAGATGATAGATAGATTATAGATATGATGATAGAGATAGATTAGATAGATGACAGATAGATAGACAGATGATGATAGATAGATAGATGATAGATAGATAGATAGGTAGATGATAGAGAAAGAGAGAGAGAAAGATAGATATAGATACACACACATCTACTTGCAGATTAACATTTATTCTTGCTGGCATTTCAGGATACTATACATAATAGGATTTACTTTTGCTGGCTTTATTTCTTGTGTGTCTCTCGGTCTCTCTTTTCTTTACTAGTACTTTGTTGATCGCCCCCTTGTTGTATGTTGCCTTTACCTTCACCCATCTTAAAATGCTTAATAATCACAAAAAAGCCAGGAAGTGGGTACAAGGATTTCTCTATTCTACAAATGAGGAAACAGGTTAAGTAACTTATCTGAGGTGATGCAGCTAATAGGTGGGGAGCCAGGAATTCCTCTGATGAGCAAGACCAAGAAAGAGGAGCAGCAGCAAGGAGCAGTTGGAAAGGGCAGACGGGACCACCTTTCTAAAGACAGACACTGCAGCTCCTTGGGCCTGGGCAAACAGTCTAACCTCTCTACAGGCAAGCCTCGCCACTCTTGTCTATATCTCTCCTTTCTCATAGGACTGTTGTGAAGTTTAAATGGGACTGTGAATATAAGAAGCCCAGAGAAAGGTACAGCATTTACAAACATAGCAGTGTACCGTGAGTAATGAATGGACAGAAGATTACCAGTAAATCATATTCCTCAGAAACATAATGCTTCTCTCAAGTTGGCTCTAAATCAAAGACCACGTCCCTCTTGTCCCCCAAATAAATCCTTTAAACAAACAGCCCAGGGCTTCCTTGAGCAATCCTTTACAGATGACAGGCTCAGGAATGCATGCTGGGTTTTGAACTGGTGTCTGCAGGAAGTTTTAGTGTATTAAATTTAGTACACCCTGCCTGAGCTAGTTATCATGCACAGAGAAAGCAATGGTTTTACTGCTACTATCTGTTCTGTTCCAAAGTAATAATGACTGTGATTTTACACAGGAGTGGCAGCCACTTACTAAACAACATGCCTCCAGAAACCCTATGAACTTTGATAAATGTCAATAGTTGTAGAGGGACTTTGGGCCTTTTGTTCATAGGGTTGCTTTGAGTCGTCCTTGACTGGAAGGCAATACAAGAACAGGGTGGGGGGTCAGGGTAGGGGGAAGAAGAATACATTCTCCTGATTGGAGCACATCACATAATAGTAATTAACTTTTTATTAGCTTCATCATTACTAAGGGCAAAGTCCACAGTTTTGTTCCCAGACAACATAAAGGTGAGTGTTTTCTATGTGGCATATCTGCATGCAATTTGAGAATTTTTTTTAAGCCACTATGACTTACCAATGTATTCAAAAGTAACCACAATTAAAAGCTGAACAATTCAATGGGGAGTGGGGTTTTTTTTAAAAAAAATTTGCTTGTTTTTTAGCTTATGTGATTAAAGCTAGCTCAATAAGCAGCCAGAAAGATAAAAAAAATTGAAATATTCAATACACATCAGAACTGACTTATGATGGACTTACTGGAACATAACTGCTTCTGAAAACCTGCTGGATGGTCAGCTCCTTGTCCCTTCCGACTCGATGACACACAGCAACAACAACCACTACCCCACAGTAAGTCTCTTGTAAGGACTATCTTGTTAGTCTCAACAAAAATGAAATCATTTAAAAGAAGAAAATAAAGAAAGGGAACAACAGCAACAAAACCCCAAATACACAATTATAGCAAAGCCATTTTCAAGTAATCTTCAAGCAGTGACTCTTCCAGCCAACACAGGTGAATTACTGAGTGCTCTAGCCTCTCTGGTCATGTCAAGTGGATATTCTGCTGCCCTCTTTTATCTAAAGATCACTGACAAAGGAAAATTAAAGCTGAACAGCACACCTGCCCCAAGTGAATGCGAGTCACATGGTGCGTGTGACTTGGGGAATGCCCCCCTGAGGTAGTAGATGGGGTTGTCATTTCAGCATGTGCTGCAGTAGCGAGAGGTCTCCCTCCACGGCCTCCAGGCCTTGGTGGAGGCTCTGGAAGGTGGCCTGCTTCCCATAGCGCTGCCTCCACCGGACAAAGGCCTCGACGATCTGGGACTGCACGTTGTGTGGGTGGTTGGCCTTGCAGCGGTAGATGTCTGCCTGCGACAATCCCAGCGACAGGACCATGGGCTCCCACTCGGGGCCGAGCTTCTGTGCCAGCTGGTTAATCTGCTGGTCTGACGGGCAGCTGCTGAGGAGGTGCGGGGGGATCAGAGGCTTCTCATTATCTGGGGAGAAAAAAGACAAGATGGGGAAAGATTAAGTGAACACATAAAATACGAGGGTGTGGGTAGAACAAGGCACTATGTTTAAATGATCAACTTTTCCTAGTCTTCGTAGGAAACTGTTCAATGGATTGACCTACATAGGTGATGTCTAAGCATCAGTAAAAATTTATTCTAGAAAATCTGAAAGAAAGCCAGCAAAACGAACTGGAAAGCTCTTTAAAGTATCCCACTAATAGTTTGGTCTAGTTAGTTATAAACTCATTCTCTCATTACAGTTGAGTAGGAACCAACACAAAGCTGCCCTTCTGTTGGGTTTCCAAGGCTGTCAATCACAAGAGAGGAAACTGCTCATTTTCTTGCTTGGAGCCATTTGCTGGTGAATTCTAACTGCTCAAGAGGCCTTCAGATTAGGAGTGCAACTCCCAGCGGGACTGTGTCACCAGAGGTCCTTTCCCTTACATACACACACACTCAGATACATTGTACATATTTTACATATTTACATATTGCTTTACAATGTTGTTATGTGACAGTGAATCGCCTGCGACTCATAGCGACCCTATGTACAACAGCCCTAAACCCTGCTCTATCCTGTGCCAGTCTCACTGTCTCCGACACACCCATCCCCATTACCCTAGTCACTCTATCAATCCACCTCATAGAGGGTCTTCCTCTCTTGCAGTGTCCCTCCACCCTCTCAAGCATGATGTCCCTCTCCAAGGACTGGTCCCTCCTTGCAACATGTGCAAAGTAGGTTAGACGAAGCTTCAGAATCCTTGCCTCCAAGGAACAGCCTGATTTCACCCTCTCTAGGATGAATCTGTCTGTTCTCCTAGCAGTCATGGTATCACCACTGAACGATGCCCACCATTACCCTGTCTTTCCAGAGCCTCACCCTAGCTCTCTGCTCACACTCTCCCCTCCTTGGATCCTCATACATGCTTTACTAGTTATCTTTCTATTTCTACAATAATGTTTTTATGTTGTATTTTTCCTTGTGAGACTGAGTTCACTCAACATAATGCTCTCCTTCCCAAGCTATGAAGAAATTTTCAAAATGATTGCTCCTGAGAACTGTGGAGTATTCCATCATGTGAATGTACCACAATTTCTCAATCCATCTGGTTGTAGTTGGACATTTGGGCTGTTTCCATGTTCTTGCTATGGCGAATAAGACTGCTATAAACATCGCTGTACAAATTTCTGTTTGTGTCTCAGTCCTAAATATCTGGTGTATAATCCTAACAGGAATATCTACGTTCTGTTTTTTGAGGAAAACACTATACTGTCATCCAGAGTGACTGTACCAGTTTACAATCCCACCTACAGTGTATAAGAGTTCCTGTCTCTCCCTATCCTTTTAATGCTTGCTGGCCTGTTAAACTTTGCCACTCTACTGGGGTGAGACAGTATCTCATTGTGGTTTTGATTTGCATCTCTCTTATTGCTAGTGATTTGGGACATTTCTTCATGTATCTGTTGGCCATCTGAATATCTTCTTATACAAAAAGTCTTTCCATGTCTTTTGCCCTTTTTGTAATTGGGTATGACCAAATGTTTTTTTTCCCAGTCAGTAGGATGTTTGCCATTAAACAATTTTAGGTGTATAGCTCAGTGACAAAATTCCATGCATCATGTTGTACAGCCATCACTGCTATCTATTTCTATTTGTCACCCCAAACAGAAACACAGGGTCCCTCCAGCAACAACTCCTCGCTCTCCCTTCCTACAGTACCTGGTAACCACTAGCTATGTCCTGTAAGTGGGATCACACAAGAGTTCTCCTTAATTTCATGGGTCACATTGAATTAGACAATTGTATGATATCTTATGCCAGAAATGAAAAGCTGAGGAAGAATAGTAGAAAAAACACAATTTCAAGATCTGTTCTAAGGTACAACATTATGAAAACCTATTAATGTAACCACTATTTGAATATATGCACCAACAACTAAAGCCAAAGAGGAGGACATTGAGGAATTCTACCAAATTTTGCAGCCCAAAATTGACCAAGCATGCAAAATTTTAACAGGCCAGCAAGTAATAGATGTTGGAGAGGATGTGCCGAGAGAGGAACTCTTATACATTGCTGGTAGGATTGTTAAATGGTGCAACCATTCTGGAAGGCAGTTTGGTGCTTCCTCAAAAAGCTGAACACAGAAATTCTGTATGACCCAGCTATTCCACTACTTGAAATATACCCTGAGAAAATGAAAACTGAGATTCGTACAATGTTCACTGCAGCATTATTCACTGTCGCAAGAATATGGAAACAGCTCAAATGTCTTACCACAAATGAATGGATTGAGAAATTATGGTACATTCACACAATGGAATACTATGCAGCATGCAGGAGCAATAAATTTGTCGATTATTACCTATCTTGGGAGGGATTGGAGAGCATTATGCTGAGTGAACTCAGTCCCACAAGGATAAATATTGTATGAGACCATTATTGTAGAAGGAGTATAAGGATACAGGATAGGTGGGAGAAGCTGGAAGCAGAGGGATGTGGATGTACAAGGGGAAGAGGGTATTAATTATTGGATTGAACAATTTGATGGGGGGGTGAGGGAAATTGAAAGAATTTGTTCAAATTCGTATTCGAATTTTGTAAATAGTGAATGAAAAAAATTGACCAAGCATGCAAACAAGATGCATTAATAAATATTTTTATTTTTTCTTTTTAAATTATTATTCTAATAGTTTATGGGGTTGTACAATTTGATGGGTGGGATAAGGGAAATTGGAAGAATCTGTTCTGGAAAACAATGAATTTGAATTTTGTAAATAAACTAGCATTTATAAATATTGGTGACTAGTCAAGGACTATAGTCTTCAATGTGGATTGAAGCTCAACATCAAGAAGATAAAAATTCTCACCACTGGGCTAATTCACAGCACCCTGATAGATGGAGAAGAGATTGAGGTTGTTAACAATTACAGCTTGCTCAGCTCCACAATCAACACTCTTAACATGAGCAGTCAGGATATCAAAAGATGAATTACATTAAGAAAATCTGTTGTCAGGGACCGCTCTAGAGTGCTGAAAAGCAACAATATCAGAAGAAAGACTAAGGTGCACCTAATTAGGCCATGGTCTTCACATTTACTTGTTATACTTCAGATAGCTGGACAATGACTAAGGATGACAAACGAAGAATCAATCCTTTTGAGTTGTAGTCCTGGAAAAGAGTCTTCAACATATCATGGACTTCCAAGAAAACAAACTGGTCTGTCTTGGAGAGGGTGAAACCAAGTTTCTCCATGGAGGGTAGGATTTCAAAGCTCTGTCTCACATACTTTGGGCATGTGGCCAGAAGAGACGGGTCCTGGAGAAGGACATCATGCTCAGAAGGGCGGAGGGACAATGCTGGAGAAGAAGACCATAGATGAGATTGACTGATACAGTAACTGCGGCAATGGGGGTTGGTGTGTTGGAATTAGTGAGACTGGCTCAGGATAAGGAAGGGTTCAGAGCTGCTGTACATCGGTCACTGAGTTCAGGCAACTTGATGACACATAACAACAACAACAACAATAACAAAAGGCAAAAGTTGGAATCAATGAGGTAGGAATGGTAGTCAGAAAGGTTGGATGTTCTTGATGACAAAAATAAAGATGTACATAGGATGGCTGGATTTTGTGTATTCAGTGATTTTAGTCATTGCAAATGCCTATTTTTATAAACACAAAATGCCTCTTTACAAATGAACCTCACCTGATGGACTGCACAGGAATCAGATTGACTACTCTGTGGAAAAACTTGTTGGAGCAGCTAAATATCAGCAGTTTAAATCAGGCCAGGTGTTGAGTGTGGAACAGATCATCAGTTACTCATTTGCAAGTTAAAACTGAAGCTGAATAAAATGAAAACAAGTCTAGAGCTAAAAAATATGATACCGAGTCTATCCCGCCTGAATTTAAAAATAATCTCCAGAATAGGTTTGTGGCATTGAACACTAATAATATTACAATGGAATGAGGAAAGGGCTGGAGTTGGAGAATAATAAGGGAAGAATTTGCTTGCCCTTTCTACAGTTAAAAGAACTGGGAAAAAATATAAAATTTAAGTCACGAGTTCAAGCAGTACCAAGAGATACCATGGGCAAAAATCTTGAATTATACAGGAAGCATCCAAAGAAGATGAAAGGAATAAACAGATTTACTGTAACAAAAATAAATGGTTGAAACAAAACTATTTGGACCAAGAGGCAGTAGTCAGAAGAGAGCAGGGTAACACTGCATGGTTCAAAATTGGGAAGGGTGTACGCCAGGGATGCATCCTGTCTCCATACCTTTTCAACATGTATGCAGAGCAGATTATCTGGGAGGCTGGGCTCTATGAGGAGAATTGTGGCATCAGGATTGGTGGAAGCTCTATTAACAATCTGCGTTATGCAGACGACACAACCCTGCTTGCTGAAACTGAGGAGGACCTCATGCACTTGCTGCGGAGGGTCAAGGACTGCTGCCTTCAGTATGGACTGAGGCTCAATGTCAAGAAGACAAAGATTCTCACCACTGGACCAATTGGCAGCGTCAGAATGGACGGCGAAGGGATTGAGATTGTTCACAGCTTCAGTTTGCTCAGCTCCACAGTCAAGACTCTTGGCACCAGCAGGCAGGAAATCAATAAGCGTATCACGATGGGAAAGTCTGCTGTTAGGGACCTCTCTAAAGTACTCAAGAGCAACGGTGTCTCTCTGGAGACTAAGGTGCGCCTAATACAGGCCATGGTCTTTGCAATCGCTTGTTATGCATCAGAGTTGGACAATGACTAGGGAGGACAGAAGGAGAGTTGATGCCTGTGAGCTGTGGTGCTGGAGAAGAATACTGAATGTACCATGGACTGCCAGGAAAACAAACAGATTCATCTTGGAGAGGATTAAACCAAACGACTCCTTGGAGGCAAGGATTCTGGGGCTTCGTCTGACATACTTTGGGCATGTTGCCAGGAGGGACGGGTCCTTGGAGAGGGACATCGTG